ATATATATTATATTCTAAATTAATTTCATTCTCTTTGTAGAAAGATTTGAATAACATATGTGCATTGCATTTAAATATGCTCAAATGCAATGCTGTAAATCAGATATATAAGTTCAATACGTTTGATTATGTAAAAATCCAGGAATTTGATGGAGATATTCATTATATTCATAATGTTGAAGTCAATAATGTAAATTATATAATAGTGAATTATAACATTTGTCAGGTAAAACTTCTATCGTATACTCAAACTAATTTTCAAGTAATAGATGAAGTATCTGATTTTGGATTGACTGACCAATTGATATTTTTTAAATCAAATGGCACTTTATACTTGCTTACCGTCGCAAAACATACTTGCGGTAGAAGTGTTAACAATATATGGAAGTTGGAAAATAATAGACTGATGGTAAGTTTATTACAATGCGCGCACACAATCTGAAAATCAAAGCAAATATAATTTATCTTAATAAACAGACTAATCTAAATTCTACTTTCTCAATAAAGAAAATTAAAAAATGTTTATAGAATAAACAGTTTTCGAATAATTTGTTTAATTTTGCATTATTTCTTTTCTTATAGCATGTATTAGAACTTGATAACATCACAGACATTACAAATTTATATCAAGAATTTTTAGCAATTATTCAAGATGATCTTGAAATTGCACCAGAAGATACAGTTGGACATATCCAGTTGGACATATTAAAAGCTCTCACTTCACATGAAAATAATAAATTTAATTTAATTTTATATAGAGATCCTTTTGTGCTTAACCAATCCTTAATTTATAAATTGGAAGAAACGTCTCTCAATGGCACACATTTAATAAATTGTTTTGACTGTGGCAATCTATTAACTTTCAAAGTAGGTATTTATAAAAGAGAAGAGTACATCTATTATAATGAAGAAGTCAGCCAAGATTATATATATGTGAGTCAAGAAGTATTTCTATTTACATCTTATTATGTCTAATTTTTATTTTTTATCTATTATGAAAAAATAACATCGCAAAGAAATATTTAATTTCCACATATAATTAAAACTTGCGTTTTTCTGTTTTACATCAATATATTAATTTAATCATATTATTTTATCTAGCTATGCAGAAATGATACTTCACAAACAAAAATCTTGCAAACTATAAAAGCACATCGACCAAACTCATTTTTAATTTTAAATTTTGATGGATTTGTCGAAACATTATTTATTTTCATAGAAAATAATAATATTATTCAGGTTTATGAATATACAGGTAAAAAATACATGCTAAAAAATATTATGAAAATTAAAGAAGAAAGATATTTATTATTTTATTTTTATTAATTTTATTAAATAATATAATTATTATATTTTATAAAATTATCTTTAAGGTATCAAAGGTTTTGTACATCGAAATACTATACAAATGAAAGTTGATAAATTATACAATCTTAAACTAAAGAAATACAATAATTTGGAGAAAAAACATTATGTGGCTGCTGTTTATAAAAATCGATTAACAATATTAGAAGCAAAAATGTATGGAGAAAAATTAAATTTGAATACGTTAATTATGGATTCTTGTTATACAAACATGTGTCAAATATATTAAATATGAATAAATAGAAATATAGAAAATAGAAATGTATAATATTCTATTATATAATATTAAAAATTTTTATCGTTAAAAAAATGATAAAAATTGATAGAAATACATAGTATAGAAATATAATTAATATATCATATTTAATTATTATCAAATTGTTAAATTTAATAACAATGTAAATTTTATATATATACAATCGTCTATTACAATCGTCATTATTTTATATTATATAAATGCATATAATTATAATATATAATATATTATAAATTAAAATGTTATTGTACTAAACACGTTGTTACTGATTACAATAAATAATTATTACTTTTTAAGAAAAATTTATTAATTTATAACATAAACTAATATTTAATAATATTTAAATAATCATTTTAAGTAATTTTATTTAAACTTATATAAAATTTAATCATACGTGAAAAATAAACTTATTCTTTGCGATAAATGTATTACAGCTAACGCCTCATTTACTTTATCATATATTAAATAATTAGGAATATTAGCAATTATCAAATTTTCTACTGCTTTGCAATTTTAATTAATGCTTTTTATGCATTTTGTTTTACAAATTACAATAATATTAAGGGCTATTTTCTCAATAATAAGAAACAAATATTTCTAATTGTTTTCAGAATTGTAACACTTCTTATATTTTTATTTACTTTTATATATTGTGATAATGTTCTTAATATTCTCTCCTTCTAATTTAATAAGAATTTAATGAGAATGATGCAAAATATATGCAGAGCAATAATAGAAGCAAGACCAGATTCAATTAGGTATAGCATAAAGCAATTCAAACAATATGTAACATATATAGAATTATACGGTATTATTTATCATTTAATAACATTTTCATACGATCATTTTCATACGACGTAATTAATATTTAGCAATTATAGTTATTTATTATTAAAGTTAGTAAGATATAAATAGGTTTTTAAATTACAAATAAGTTTTTGTGAGATACTATATATTATTAGTTTTTAAATTGATTATGACTATTAACAAACGGAATCCGTAATCATAAGCTATTAACATACAATATAATGTAATATATTTGGAAATATTCGATGAGGAAGAAATTATAGCATCTATGTAAGGAATGTGACCCGCGCCCTCCTAACCCAGAGACACTATGACTTGCTTCAAGTAATATAGGCTTAGGTTAATGTTCTTCGTTTCAGATTCCAAATGGTGCCAGTTATCGTTCCCTGTCCGAATATCCATTCGGTTTTCAAAAAATTTTGCAATTTTGCATTATAAATTTGTTAAATTAGTAGGATATTAACAGAAACAAAAAGTAAGATATTAAAAAAATATCTTTGTTACAACTAAATGTTATCTTGTGCTAGTCTAAAAATCTTTATGATAACATTAATAATATTTTAATAGCACATATATTCTGGGATTAATTAAAGTAAAATATCTGAAACATAAAAATATTAAAACCATAATAGTTTACAAATTATAAATGTCAAATAAAATATTTACTAATAAATACTAAAAACAAATTTAAATGTGAGAAAAGAGATAATAAAAATTAACTATTACTCGCTTGTTTTTCAATGAAGTAAAATTTGCATAAATTATAATATTAAAATTAAAATTAAAATTAAAATTAAAAATATTTGCACCTCATATTAATAAATATTGTATATAAAAGATCACAGACGCACAGACACATACGTACTATGGTACACATAATAGTATTAATAGTATTAATTGATAACTATTCGATAATATTATATTATTTTTATAACGTTAACAGTATTACCATTGGCTGCTCATTAGGTATTAAAGCTTTATTTATATTTTTATCTTCGGTTGATAAATCATAGATGTAATCATTCAATATCTTATACATAACTAATAATAATAAAACTACAGTAAAAATATAAAAGAAAAAAATATCTATCGCGAATAAAAAAATTATTGTAAAAATAACCGTAATGTGAATATGGCGCGCGCGCGCGCGCGCGCACGCGCGTGTATGTGTGTGTACACACACACACACACACACACACACACACACACACACACACACACACACACACACACACACACACACACACATATATAT